ATTCAAGTAAATTCCACCCCAAAGTTGCTGTTGCCTCACAATAAGACATATATCCACCCCTCATTTAAGATAGTCTATAACTGGTGTTTCTGGGAAAAAAAAAATCCATCTTCAGGAAAATGTCCCAATTAGTGAAAAACAAATGGCAAAATTACTTAGTTCACTCAATTGACATATGGACCAACTATCACTTCAACTGAACCAAACAGACACACAATAGTATTTAGACATAAAATCTGGGGCAAAATACAGTAAACAAAGATAATGTAGTGTAACCAAATGTGTGTACTCTTGGGCTACATTCTTTATGGACCTTTCTTAGTATCCTAAGAGAAAGTAGAAAGTTTACTTTATCAAAAACTGAAGGCAAAAAAAAAAACAACTTTAAAATGGGGCATGGAAAACAGTTATGTATTTTCTTCAGAAACTACAACCTAGTCTATTCTATCACTCAAGTATTATAAGGCAGTTAGGGATTGTGTAGAAACAAAACAGTATTCTTTTATAGCCAATTTTTAAGCATTTCCAGAAGAAGAGTGGATGAAAAACTACATTTCCTTGCCTCCTTAGATCAGAACTTTTAGCTTTATTTAAACCAAGTAGTCTAAACATATCTATAAATTTGGCGTTCATAAAGATTACCTGTAGGCAATTAACAAGCATGGACTATAAAAGTATGATTTTTCTAGCGTTAACTTTTCTTCCATAATTCAACCATACACACAGGAAAAAGACTTTAGTATTACTTTCAGCAATGTTCTAGCTCACAAAGTGGCTCATGTGATTACTACCAGCTCGCTAAAGCACTTTTTGTAGCATAAAACAATTAGTCATTAAAGATTTTTACCTATCACCATAATAATAAAATGCTATCTTTCAAAGTGCTTTAAAAATTTTAGATAAGACACTTCATTAAATGTTAAGTTTTCAAAAAGAATTTATCACATCCTTTTTAAAAGGCCTAATTCATATGCAACAAAAAACTAGGTTAAAAATTGCTTTTAACACCATTTCTACCTCACAATGGTCTCTTAAGTTTTTACAATCTAAGAGAATTTTAGAAATACAATACAATTTAGAAACACAAACAATAAACTTCAGATGACATCCATTGCATTTTCAGATGATCACATAAAGCAATTATTAATCTTACTACTTTTGGCACTTTAAAACTACTTCAAAGTTATCAGGTATGGAACAATTATATTTGTCTAGCATATGCCAGTCATTGTGTTAAGCACTTTACAATCATGTGATCCTCATAACATTCCCGGGAAGTGGGTTCCACTACTATCCCTTTACAGAACAGTAAAGTAAATAGACTTAAATCAAATCAAATCTGGATTTATAATCACTAATGATAAACACTTTAATTTTTTTAAAAATCCACTACTCTTGTCCATATAAAAGGAAATATTATCCACAAATTCATATATTCCCTTAAAAAGACATGTGGTGACAATTCCAGCTCTGAATAACTTTTTTTTCCTCTGCTTCCTTAAGAAAGCTGAAAAGTCCCATCTCCCTTTTTGAGACTTATCAAATTAAAAAAAAAAAACAACTACCCTAAGCATTTCATCCTCCAGAGAGTTCAGGCTGATGCATTTAAATTTTACAAACAGTTTAAAATCACCTGTAATCATTCAGGTTAGCTAAGAGTTTCACTCAGACAACTTGAGGAATTTGAATCAATGCTGACAGAGTGTGGTCTGTTTCCCCAGGCATAAACTTCCAGAGTCCAATAATTAATTGAAAGTACAAGGAAACATCTCAAGATTTTATGTAATAATCACAAATCACAATAACCAATATCTTTACCGTAGCCAATATTTATGCAAGGTGATATTTAATAAGGCCTTCCTACAGGTTTATCCTGAAAGGCAGTTGGTGTTCTAACCCTCTATAACTTTATTGATTTTCAAATCAAGCTACAAAATTTTCATTTTCAATTTTTCTTCTTAAAACAAAATTAAACTTCCTCATAACTTCTCAACATGCCATCTGAAGCTGGCACAATGGCACCCAGAACAACTAACTAACCAAGGATAGGGCTTGGAGCACATGGGCTTGCTGTGGAACACCCCACCCCCATCTATTCCCAAACCAATTTTTCTCTACCCATCATATTTTCACTCAAACCTTTATTCCTCTTTCCTAATCTTTCAAACCCACTACTCAGACTACCTCTACTTTCCTTTACATTCCAAATAAATAAAAAAAATATATACCAACCCCACTTTTGGTCCTGCTTCTCGTCACCTGTTAGAATCTGGAGGGAGTTAACGCCTAATGATTTACAAATCAAGACAGCTTTATTTTCCCACTCCATTCAAAAACAGCTTTATAATGTTAATGCTTAAAGGCAGAAAACCCCTTATTTTTGCAGTTTTAAACACTTTGCCATGATATCAGATATATTTTCAGGATGGGTCAAAGACAGTTCTTTAGATTTAATTTAAACATAAAGTACAAACTCCAGCTTTGGGGTTTGATTAAACCTGAATTTAAACCCTTACCTTTTCCCTCTCTCAGCTCTTGCTATCTTGGGCTGTATCCTCTAGATCCTTATCAGTAAAGGCTGTTTGCCACTCTGATTTCACCTTCCACTAACTTCTGGGAGATTCTCTCCCTGCTTTTTGATTCTATTACTCATTATCGAACTTTCTGGTATCCCAACTTGGCCAGTGTTGGGACCCCCCAAAAAAAGGATCTTAATCTCCCACTGAAAGCCTAAGGTAGGAGTTCTTTTCCAATGTTCTCTCTCTAATTACAGACCTTCATTTTAAATCTTTCACCACAAACATGAAACATTTTACGTAGAGAAACACAAACAGCTCGACAAGACAAAATGTGCCCGAATATAATTTTCTTGTTGGCTTTTTACGCTTAGTTTGTTTCTAAGATAAACCAATTTAGCCTTCAACCAATTCAGATTACAATACAATTTAGCAGTCAAAATTTAGTTATTACATGCCAATTTACTCTGACTTCTAGCCAATTACAGAGGATATCCCAGAGAATCCCTTTTTTATTTTTGAGGTCCCCAACCCCAACCCCAGAGCCACTTGGAGATAAAAGAAAATGGACTTCAACCTAAAAGTGGGAGTTCCCATGGATAAGGAGCAGGGATTTTGGGGATAAGACTTACCCACCCTTCAGAGCTGGGACTGCAGGAGAAAACTCCTGTGGGTGCCCAGACCCTAGCACTTTTGGGATAAAAGTGTGTACCCCAACAATCCAAGTCTAAATCCAGTGTCACGGCATCATTATTGTGAACCCCAAACCCCATCACCCCCAATTTGAAATAGATTTTGTTCCAAGAAAGAGACAAATGAAATTGGGGTATATGAGTCCACAGTTTAATTTCTCAAATTGGCCTGACATACATTGCATGGGAGTTCAGTCCAAAACTGGGCCCCTCTAAAGGGACCAGTTCAGAACTGGCTCAGTTTGGGATTTTGGGGTACAACATTATATACCCTTGGAAGAGTAGGTGTTCCAAAGGGGGTGCCAATCAACTGTGACTGGTCAACATACTAGGAGGTGGGTGGGTTTCTTAGATCACTCAGTCCACAGGGGCCAATATTGCCTGCCATCAAAGGAAATACCAACCCTAGTCTTGGAAGTCTGTCTGCACCCAAACCTAAGTAGTATAAAATCAATTCCAGCCTGGGTTGGAGTTTGACCAAGATAAGAAAATTCAATGCAATCTCATTATCAAAGATGCCCTTCTGAAGAACCTTGAATCAGAAGGCTGGCAGGGTGGAGCTCTGAGTCTCCAAAACACATATTACCTAGAGAAGTCATTTTTCATAGGAATAGATGCTGAAGAAAAACCCAAGTAAACACCATATTTCTGAAAGTTGTTCTGCCTCTCCCACCCACCCCCAATCTATGTTCAGCTTGAAAAGGTGATCCTCTGCTTAACAACCCAATTGTTAGGAGGCAGTTTTTTCAACCCCTAATGGATACAGCATGTAAGACCAAAAGATCTGCCTGTCACCTGTTTTCTGAGCTGAAAAACTGATAGAAACTAGAGAACTTAACAGTTGCCAACATACCTGGTCCTACTTCTTAGGCAATAGCCAGAATCTCAGAGCAGAGCTTCTAAATTCAGTTTTTGACCTTTTTGTGTGTCATGGACCCTTTGGCCAGTCTGGTGAAGTCTACTGATCCTCTTTTTAAAAATAATACATTTTATTTTATTTTCATCAATACCTTCCTTCATTTCCCCTCAACTTTCCTTCCCCCACTAAGAAAGCAAGAAAAATAATATGATATAAATATGTATGGTTAAATAAAACAAATTCCTACATTAGTTATACCCCCAAAATCTCTCAATCCACACTGTCATTTACTAGATTGTAAGCTCCTTGAAAGGGATTGCCTTTTGTCTTTTTTTTTTTTTAATATTCTGAACGCTTAGTAGAGTGTTTGGCACATAGTAGGCATGTAACAATTTGTTTATTGATATTGATACTGAGTCTATCACCTTTCTATCAGGAGGCCAGTAGCCGATTTTATCATGAGTCTTTGGACTCCTCAGAATCATGTTTTTAAACAATTAAAGGGAACGCTAAATTTCAGCTATAGGTTAGTGAAAATAAAGATGTCATTTTTCCCCCATCCAAGTTCACAGACCCGATCGCAAGTTAAGAACTCCGTGTACCTTCACTGCCCATTTGCGGATACCCTAACTGCCTTTTATGACTGCTCCCGACGAGCCTGAATACATTGTATTCAAATACTGGAAGGTTTTCTGTACTCAGAATCCACAGTCCTGTGGGGAGACTAAAGACAAGAGGTGAGCTTCATAAACATAGTACCCTTTCAAGCCCTAGGGAAGAGAGACTAGGCAGCTGACTACATTTCCCAGCAGGCCCATCGGGAGGGCGGGCGTAAGAAAGAGGGAGGGGGAAATTAAGGGCTGTGATTGGGCGTGAGGTAGCCTAGGGGCGGAGCAGAGGCGGGGCTCATTGGCTCTTGCGCGGTCTCCCGTGGAGATCGGCAGGCTGTGTTGTGGAGCTTACCTTCTAGCTTCTCCCCTAATCCCTTCTTCCACCCGGTTGGGACGAGGTGTTGACAGTTATGAGACCGGGCGAGGAGCTGCCTGGAGAGGGCGGCGGCGCCGTCCCGGAGGTAGAGCTGCTGAAGCGCTGCGCCGCTGAGTGCATCGACGAGGCCGCGGAGCGGCTGGGGGCCCTGAGCCGAGAGATCTGGAGCGAGCCGGAGCTCGCCTACCAGGAGTACCGGGCCCACGGCGCCCTGACCCGCTTCTTCGAGCAGGAGCCGCAGGCCGCCTTGTGGACCGTGCAGCCGCACTACAAGCTGGACACGGCCTTCAGGGCGGAATGGGAGTCTGCGGCCCCGGAGCCCGGGCGCTCCACGCCGCTGCACCTGGGCTTTCTCTGCGAGTATGACGCGCTGCCGGGCATAGGGCACGCCTGTGGCCACAACCTGATCGCCGAGGTGGGCGCAGCGGCCGCCCTGGGTCTGAAGGGGGCGCTGGAGAGCCACCCGAACTGTCCGCCAGTGAAGGTGAGACCCGGCCTGGGCTGGGGGCGGCGGCGAGCGCTGTGGATATTGTTTCACACCAGCGCCCGTACCCACGCGCCTGGGATCTCCCTGGAGAGGGTAGGGAAGAGCTGGACGCCAACCTCTGCCCTTGCCCCCAGGTGGCCGTCTGACAGCCTGCATCCCAGCATTGACAGTGTGTTGTCACAACTTAGACTCATCTCCATCACCAGTTATTTTTCTAAATCTTGGAAGACAGATCCCATAACAGATATGTAGATAGATAGATCTAAATATTTAATTAAGACTCAATCAGATAACTGTTTCGGATAGATTGCACCTAATTATTCTCCGTATAGAAGAGCTTTGAGCTGAGCTGTAACTAGGGCAGGACTCTCCGAGCTTTGTCCCAGGGTGGAGAATTTAGAGGGTGCTGGTAGCACTTGCAGCCTTTCAGTAGCATAAAAACAGCAAAGCTTAACACCTAGTTAGCCAGAATAGTAAATTTAAATGGGAAGCTACCAGACGGTGGGCTGGGAATGAGCTGCTAGTGGGAGCTTCTATCCTTAAGGTTGGTGGTATCCTTCCTGACGCCCTCAACTGAAGGCTCACTTCATGTCTCTTGACTTAGGCTTGGTTTGTAGGACTTTTTCCCCTAGACATTCGTTCTTAGTTATGAATTGTCTTTTGGCCCGAAAACTTGTGTGTCATCTAGTATTTTGAGTAACTGAGGATGGGGGAGGAAGGGGGAGTGTGGGGGGGCGTCTAAAGACATTGTTTTGTGTTTGTACTTGTTTCCTTTGGCGCGGGGCGGGGGGGGGGGGAGTTCATAACAAAGGCTGTAGAAGGGAGGAAAGTAAAGGAGAATAAATGGACAAACGGATGCTGTATTTTGAAAAGAGATCTGCAGGGGCTACAAAACCATTGGGGCAACCCTCTTGTGGCTGCTGTTGATCTTTCTGGACATCTTTTATATTTAAATACTGGAGAGAATTTTTTATATGCTTTATAATCCTCATAGAACTATTGTTTCTGCAATAATAGGGAAGCATTTTAAATATAGTTCAGTGCAGGCTTTTAAGTTTTTAAAAAATTTTTGTCTTTATGGATTTTAAAAAAACCTTCACATTTTAAACAAAATTTTTAATTTGGTTTGAGAAAATTTCATTTAAAGAGTCTGTTATTTCATTTAGCATATATGAAAAATTACTCTTCATTTTTGGGCTAAAATTGAATCCAGCCTTGTTTTGGTTAAAGAGAATGTGAAAGTATTTTATTTTTGAAGACCATTCTCCCTTGTCTTTTTCCTTTCAGCTCTCTCTTTTTTTTAATCTTTGTCCATTTAGGGAAGGGTTGGTTGTTCCTGAATGTGGGCACCCTCTTTCTCTTCTCCTTTTATCAATACAAGAAAAAAAACTAAACTGTCAAACCAGGCATATTAGAAGTTCTGAGATTAGCATGGGGCACATAACAAACATTTATTAAGCTCTTACTGTATGCCAGGATGCTAAGTGTTGGGGATACAAAGAATGGCAAAAACATTGTCCTTCCTTTCAAGGAGATCCCATTCTAATAGGGAAGATAATATACAAATACTCTGTACAAGATGTAAATGGAAGGTAACATCTAAGGGAAAACTCTGGGGGAAAGGGTCCTGGTTAACTAGGAAAGGCCTCCTGCAGAAGATGAGATTTGAATAGTGATAAAGGAAGCCAAAGAGTCTTAAGAGGAGGAAGTAAGGAGGGAGAGCATTCCAGGCGTGGGGGATAGCCAATGCAAATGCATTGGGAAAAGAGGAGAAGGGGGTAGGATTTCAGGAAGATTATGAGCTGAGTTGTGGACTTGGTTGAGGTGTCAGTGGGACCTCAAACCCAGATGGGTTTGGTAAGAGGGGTTTGGAGCTCAGAGGAGAGAGTAGGATGTGTAGTTCTACATAAATAGGTTAGTTGAACCCAGGGGAGCTAATGAGCTTTGGAGGGCTACGAGGTAGTAATGATAATTTTAAGGAGGAGGTACACAATCCTATTTGCATAATTTATAGGAACCATATACTTCTCAAACAGTAATAATTGTCAGTTTTAGAAAAATTAATGTCATCTCTCTGACACAGTGATGCTTATACATATATTTCATCTTAATTCATTGCATTTGCTTTTTGAGGGTAGGAATCTTGTCATTTTTCATCTTTGTATCCCCAGGTACCTAATAAATGTTTGTTGAATTGAATGATTTTAGAACTTAAGGAGCCCCATTTTTCAATGACATTTTTTCTGACTGTTTAAAATTGTATGTTTTGAAGAAAGTATTAAAATATTAAAGTAAAATGTTTATTCTGTAAAGTTCTTTTTTGTTTAATTAGGTGTTTGGTGACCAATAAATCTGCCTGATTGAACTGGTGGAAACGAATTAGTAAGTTTGTGTAATTGGTCATTTCTAACTGTGGTATTTAAGATTGTTTAATGCACTTCTAAAAATAATCTATCTTGAAACTTCTTAATGAGGTAGCAGCATAAGAGTAGAAGTAATGAGATTTGAATTTTAGTCCCAAAATTGCCTTAGCCTTTCTGTGACCTTTTAGGCAAGTCATTCTACTTCCTGGGCCTCTCTTTCTTTCCCTGTAAAATGGTATTTGTCACCTACCTCACAGGGTTGTTGTGAGGATTAACTAATAATTATAAAGCTCTTTGCAGATAATTTGCTTATTAATGCTAAACTACAAAATGCCTCTGACATATCCTGCCTGTGTGACCCTGGACAAGTCAGTTAACCTATTTATTGGTCTAGGCTAGAGGTGCCAAACTCAGGCTGCAAAACTGAGTGAGCCCAGTCAGATTAAAATGTAATTAGGAAATGTTTCAACAAAATAAATAAAAATACAACACAACATAGATAATGTGGTTTTCTAAGTCAATATGCAGCCCTCAGGGACCTTTTCTATTTGAGTTTGATACCACTGCTCTAGGCAACTCTTCAAGACTATTAGGTTGCCCAGAAGTTACTGACCTGCATTTGGGAAGAGTTTTCCCCATGCAGGAATTCTCTATACCCATGAAATCACAGGTCCAGTCCTTGTTCCTACACATCTAACCTTTAGTCAAGAGAAGTGGCTACCTGAGTTACAGAGTACCTTGAACAACCAAAAAGTTTTAGTTCTCTTTTCATCATAAGCATTTCAGACAGAAAATTTCTGATATCTCTCATCAAATTGGTATTCGTATGAACTCTTTGGTATTGCAACGTAAATTAAAGTATGAATTTCTAAGTATCATACGTCGTTGTCCTTAGTTGTATGTTAGAAGCAAAAGTCTTTCCTGTAGTTTGAAGATATAAACAATTAAGTAGATTCTGAATGAATGTATACTAGGAACCTGTATGATATTTGGTAGATAGTTGTTAGGGTTTTTCTGACCCCTGTGTCTTTTCTAGATCACTGTCCTGGGCACTCCCGCAGAAGAAGATGGAGGTGGCAAAATTGACTTAATTGAAGCTGGAGCTTTTAAAAATCTCGATGCTGTTTTTATGGCTCATCCATCCCAAGAAAATGCTGCTTATCTGCCTGATGTGGCTGAGCATGAGTAAGTAAGGAAGCTGAGGAAAAGAGATGTTTCTTCCTTGAAACTAGAATTTAGAATATTTTGGTTAACAGCACTTGAATTTCAAGATGTTTATATTACCTCTACTTTATCTTGGTCTCCCCTGTAGGGAGGGAGGGTGTGTGTGTGTGTGTGTTCTGTATATTCTACAGAAACCATTTCATTTTTTTATATTCTCATTCCCTTACACTTTAACAGATCAGTTATTTCACTGGCATTCACTGGACATTCCCTCTAACGATCAGGTCTTGCCTCACCTTATTCAGCTTTTATTCATGTCCTCCCATAAGTTTGCTGGAAGAGGTTCAGCCATTGAGCTGGGAGCCTTTCTGGTTTGTAGAGTACAGTGAAGCATACAGGCAGATTACCAAGCTATTCCTCACATGTGCTAGTTGACTACCCCATCTGTTTTGAGCACATATTTCTCTGATAACATTTTTTACTTTAGTTTTTCTTTGAGGCTTCATGTTATTCGTATAAGCCTACTCACATGTGCCACGCACCCCTCAGCACAGCCTGCTGTGGAATTAAGTAGGTCAAATATTTAACAAAGGTGCTTTTTAGCTTCTTTTGGTGTCCTTTTGGCGAGCCCCTTTATTTTCGTGTCCAGGGACAGTGTGTGACCCATCTTTCCATCTAACTCCAACTTCTTCTTTTATAGATTCACTTATTCATACGATTCAGTTAGTTCAGTTAGTCCACTTAATGCTTATTTGACAAGGACCTCATTTTTCAAATACCAACAAATAAAATGTATGGTCAGTCTAAGAAGTAGGGTTCATAACATCTCATGTACCATTTTCTGCCACCATCACTGCAGTAGGGACCTACACTAGACAGTTTGTATTTTATCTTTGTTTCAGAGGTTGTTATGACCCAGGAGTCCATCAAGAGGTCAGCCTGTTGGTGGTGAGCCTCCATATTCAGCTAGCTTGGGACTCTGAAAGCAGGTTGTCTATTGTTGGGCCATATTTAAATGAAACAGCGAGAGCTTTCATTTTGCTGGTAGAGCATTTAGGAAGCCAGTATCACCTCCATGCCACAAAGAGGCATCAGAGGAGAGGGCTCTGTGGGGAGGATTTACAAAATAGTAGGCACTTTACATCAAAGAAATGGTTCAACTTGTGTTTAGCAATAGGAGATTTTTCTGAATCTACATTTAATACTTTTCATTGTGTGTTTGACAATGAAAGTCATTTGGTTTTGCCTTTTATTTTAAACTGAACTTCTTTCATAAGAAGGATTTCATAAGCATTAAAATGCTAGTAGGGTATAAAACTACTCTATAGGAACCCTAAGACAGAAAAATTTTCTATTTGTAGTATATTTGTAGTGTATTTTAAAGTAGATAATGAGTAGCATATTGGTTTTCTGGAAAACCATCCAATCTTGGACAAACATCTAAAACAAATCATTCTTCAGAATTTCTCTATGTAATATTGTAAAAAATATGAACGCTTTACATAGTGTAGCATTGCATATGAGTAGGGAGCTCAGAGGTCATTTAATCCAACTTTGTCATTCAACAGAGAAAGGACTTGGCATGGGCACACAGGAAGAGAATTGGAGAGCTAAACTCAAAAGCAGGTCCCTTGACCCCCAATCAATACATTTTCCAATGAACCAGACTGGTTCTAAGCTATCTACATTGGAGTGTTCAGAAGTAAAAAGTAAAACTGAGAAAAATTATCCTGGGCAAATCTTAGTTACCTATCTAAATTAAAAACATGTACAATAGTTTCTGTCTAGGAAGATGCTCTAATTCTTATTATTAGCAAGGATTAACCTTGAAAGATTATAATGATTAGCTCTTATTTATTAGTGTCATTTTCTTATGTCCTTTGTAATAAAATTGACATTGATGTATTAGTAAAATGCTGAGCTTTGGCACGTAATACATTCATATAGGATAACTCTTTCCTGGTCTCACTCTGGCATGAGCCCTTCACAAGCTTAAAGATGAGTAAATGCTTTTCAATTTTAAAACTTACTGCTAAAATAAAATAACCATTAATATAGTTTTCTCTCAGTTTATATTTGTGGTGCTTTTATTAATTAGTCTGTAAAATTGGTATTAAAATGTTTTCCATGGAAGGTGGTTTGTGGGGAGGGGGAGGGGTTGTTTGATTTTTTTTTTTAAACACCCTTCCAGATAAATGTCTTGACAAGTGTTTTCCAGTTTCAAGGGGATGGTGAGAGAATAGACCTATTCTGTTATTCGGCCTACTGTGTGAACATTGTGCTAGCATTGGAGGAGATAGAAAGATTCAAGAATACACACAGCCTTACTTATCACTGCTTCATACTACCATAGTAAAATTAGGCACCTAGAGGCTTTTTTGCTAAGGGAATATTTGGAAATAATCCAGAAATGACATGAAATTTCTAGGGACTCAGACATTTTGTCTGTTTCATTAATTAAATCTAGTACTCTCCCAGCAATTTGATACCACTCTTGAAATATCCTTAAATAGATTGTTTACACAGATACTTAAAGATTTTCAGCTATGTCATCTTTAAGCATTTTTGAGGAAAATAATGATACATCTAAATGTTAGATATATAATAAGATATATTTGGTCAAGTGTTTGAAAATAGTTTCCCTTACAAATTTGTAAAAAACAAATTTAAGTACTTTAATGTGTCTACTGAGCATTTAGGCAGCTTGATTTATTTCTTTGCCAAAACCTTTTTTTTTCTGATAGTAACTAAGCAACTAATCTTGGTAAGAGAATCATTTGGAAATAGGATAAGTAATTTATAATGTTCTAAGATATTACAAAAAAAATTTTGTTTCAATTTGGATAGGTGAAAAAAATTTCATCAAAATATGAGGTAAACTAGTTTTTTTCATAATTATGTTAGTATTACAGAGAAGCAGTGAGAAGTTCATGGCAAGAATTAGTAGAAGTTATGAATTTTAGGAGCAATTTTAATTGATTAGATTTATAAAGTACATCTCCTAAACACCAGCTGTTGACTGACAACCATTTTAGCATGGAAAATGCAAAGAAAAATGTTCTAACAACTAATCATTTCAACATTAGAATGCTTAAATGGCGAGTTCTCTTTTTAAATTTAATTTTTTATTCTGAGCTTAAACACCAAAAAAGAGCATTTCCCTACCTAAAGCAGAACACAAAAAGAGGGTTCCCTATGAAACCTTGAGTCTCCACTTGACACAACTTGCATTATAAAAAGTATATTATAAATTCCATATATTACTTTTAAAACTGTTCTGCTTGTCTTTGCTTCCATCTGAACTTCCTTTTAGTCTCACTGTGCATTAAAAAAATGTTTCAATGACCCTTTTTATTTTATAGCATCTCTATTGCTACCTCCCCCCTTCCTCTAATTGACTGAGAGAAAGAGGCGGGAAATGCTTGTAACAGATAAAGGCAACCAAGCAAAACAAGCCCACTGCTTGGCCATGTCTAATAACCTCTGCCTGCACCCTCTCTCTGACACCTTTGTCAGAGCTCAGCAGTGTGCTTCATCATGGTTTCTTTGGTCATTGCTTTGAGTCATTGCTTTGATTAGAATTCTCAAGTGTTTCATAGTTGTTTTTTCTTTATGATGTTGCTGTTGTGCTTATATAAATTGTTTTCATGTTTTTACTTAACTGCCTCAATTCTTATGACTCAGGATTCTCTGAAATCATCTTTTCTTAAGGTGAAAAAAACTATTCCGTTTGCATTTTTATACCACAATTTATTCAGCCATTCCCCAGTTGTCTCAGAAGCAACCTAAGGCACCCACCTTAGATTCTAGTTCTTTTCTCATACCCAGCCTTCTTTTGATTCCCCTTCAATTTCAGATATGAGTGCTTATCTGATGCCCACTCCCCCAAACCCTCCGTTTTTGTAGATTCTTTTCACAAAGTGTGGCTACTTCTAGATTGTATAAAACATTCAGCTTTACACAAATTTCTACCACCATTTAACATATTTATTGTGGTCTACTCCCTTAACCTGTTCCTGGCCTCCACAATGAAAGTTGTACAGTTCATATGTAATACTTTGGATGTTTATAGGAATAGGACCCGGACTTGTGACTTCATTGAGATGAGGAAATCTCGGGTAAAGAAACTCCCTCTACCAGTGTAGGTTGGTATTTTCTCTGCAACTTATATTCATAGAAAGTTGCAGCATTTATGAATTTATTAAGTAATAATACTTGGGTGTTTCCCCAAATAACTGCCTTGAACTTTTTTTTTTAAACTTCAGTACAAATAAAGAAAATAAATAACAAGTGATACTTATTTCCCAGTGTGACTGTGAAATACTATGGAAAAGCTTCTCATGCTGCTGCTTATCCTTGGGAAGGTCTAAATGCATTAGATGCTGCCGTTCTTGCGTACAACAATCTGTCAGTTTTAAGACAGCAAATGAAACCCTCTTGGAGAGTTCATGGTGAGCATGTCAATACTTCTTTTATTTGAGGGGTGATACTTATACTCAGTTGCAATTTAATAGAATTTTAATAAGAATAATTTTTTCAAATGTTTATTAATTTAAATGTTGGTAAGAGGAGAACTGCTTTTCAGCATGGACTTGTTTTCAGAAATGCATGCAATGAAAGACTGACATAGTTTGGCTTTCAATATTTTTTAAAAGATCATTGTTTCTGAGTTCAACTTACTAGCAGTGTAACCCTTTGCAAGTCACTTAACCTCTTGCCTGCCTCAGGTTCCTCAGCTGTAAAATGGGTAAATAATGGCACCTATCTAACCGGGTGGTTGTGAGGATAAAATTCCATATTTGTAAAGTATTTTGCAAACTGTAAAGACCTTGGCAGAGCTATAGCTTTTCTTTGCCTTAGATAGACTTTTGGCTGTAATCTGCTAATTGTGGATCAAAAGCCAAAGAAGTTCAGTGTCCCAGACAGCTCTCTAAATCTGTAAGTTGTGAAGATTTGTACTGGCGGAAGAAGTTCCCTGGGAACCTCCTACCCTGATGAAATTCCAGAACTGGTCACTAGAGAGTCCTGTCTGTCACTGAAGAAAGCTTTGTTGTTGTTTGGTCATTTTCAGTTGTGTCTGACTCTTTCACCCGATTTGGGGTTTTCTTGGCAAAGATACTGGAGTGGTTTGCCATTTCCTTCTCCAGCTCATTTTACAGGTAAGGAAACCGAGGCAAACAAGTTAAGTGACTTGCCTAGGGTCACACAGCTTGTAAGTGTCTGAGGCCAGATTTGAACTCAAGTCTTTTTGACTTTATCTACTTTATCCACTTGACTTGGCTTTATCCACTGGGCCACCTAGAGAAAGCTTGAAAAACCAGAATAAATCCTCATCCTGAAATCTCTGGCAGAGCTGGGGCAAACATGCATACATTGGAAAACTTAAAGATCAACTGTTTTGCTCCAGGATAAGAAATTTTGTAGTGAGTTGCAGAGACTCTGCTTTATGTTTGTGTTTATGCCAGTGCCAAATCCAAGTTAAGGCTACACAAAATTTCAGTTAGCCTCCTTGTTAGAAGAAATAAAAGGGCTGGAAGAACATTTTTCCCATCTCCCAGTTAGTAAAGGGGATCAGATTTTTCTTAGAAAAAAAAAAAAGAAATTAAAAAAAAACCCAACACCTGGCTATACATGTCTACCCAAATATATGAAATATTGTTAGTAATTAAGGTGAGCCAAAAGAGGAAAATCAAATCTGAAGGAAGCAGAGTGGAACTCTTCCCTGCGAAAGCTTAGGGCATATCCGAATGTGAAAAGAAGAACAGGGGAGAAACTTTGGATCTGTGTACTAGGCTGTAAAATATTCCCATAGAGGATAGAACTAGATCCTTTGAGGAAGCACTGTTAAGGTTTTTAAAAGTTTGAGCAATAAATTAAAGACTTCAGAGATAAAGTTAGGTGTTTTGTTTTTGTTTTTTTTTTAGTTTTTTTTTTTCTTTAAATTACTATTACTGATTGATGTAAGGGGCCAGAAGAAGGCTGAGGCAATTTGGGAAGGGGAAGGAATGGGTGAACAGCTGGTTTAGAAAGAAAGGGATTTGGATTCCTGAACCAGGAAGATAGAGTGGCCAAAGATAGAGTGAATCTAATAAGGACCAGTAAGAAATGTGTTTGTAGTCTTGCAGAGATTTAAACTGAAAATAGAGGAAGAGTGATAGTAATAATCTAATTTTTTTTTCAGCAGTTGGGGTTAAGTGACTTGCCCAGGGTAACACAGCTTGTAAGTGTTATGTGTCTGAGATCGGATTTGAACTCAGGTCCTCCTGACTCCAGAGCCAATGCTGTATTCACTGAGCCACCTAGCTGCCCCAACAATCATTTTTAAGCTCCTACTTCTTGCTAGGTACTTGCCTAGGTGCTAAGGATATAAAGACAAAAATGAAACAGGCCCTGCCCTCAAGAGGCTTAGTATCTATGGGGGAGACAGTATGTAAATACATGCAAATTTGTGCAGGCAAGATAGAAATATATGCAAATGTATGCAGGGGAGGCAACATATAAATATATTCGGCTATCAAGGCATCAGCAACTGGTGGGCTCAGGAAAGACCTTATGAAGGAAATGGCACTTGAACTGAGATTTGAGGGTAACTAGAGATTTTTAGCCTTTGAGCTGAGGAGGAAATGTAACCAAGGCCCAGGACACAGTCTGTGCAGACTACAATGGAGGGATGGAGGGAGGTCTGTTTTCTCTTCTTTTCTTCTGGCCAAGCTTGGTTTTTGTAGTTATACAACATTCAGTTTCAGGTTCTTTCTTTTACATGGAACAGAAATCTTTGTATTAATAATTGCATGTTCTCTAACTAATTATGGCTGCTGAATACATTATATTTCTTTGTCTTGCTAGCTGTCAGTGTTTTAGTGATTTTTCCATTATAATAACTTATTGTTGTGAAAAGTTTTCTAAGTGATCAGTATCAGTTGCTGTTTCACAAGGTCACAGTACTCCGAGGTACTAAAATAATTGGCATCTTTTTACCTAATCATTAGAGCATTTTTGCTTTTAGAGACCTCAGAGCACAGAAGTTGGGACCAGAAAAATTGGGTTCATGCCCCAGCTCTGTTCTGGAGCCATCTGTGACCTTGGATAAGTCCCTCAGCTTCTCTGGGTTTTAGTTTTTTAATTGATACAGTAAAAGGCTTAGACAGGATGACCTAAATTACTTTCCATTTCCAACATTCTGATTGCAGATCTAGTCCCATTGACGTATCTGGTTTTGATGCCAAAAATATCGATTTAAACATTCTAACTGCAGTAAAATTTTGCTGAACACAGAGTAAATAGTATAAAATTTTCTCAGTGTCAAGTTGTTTTCACCAACCTCACACGTATACTTGTAACAAGTTACGTTTAATTAATTATATCTCCCGGGTTCATTTAGAATTAGAGAAGAAATGATTTTTAAAGTTGACCCTGTGTTATATAAACTCATTCCTATGTTTATAGGAATACTTTGACTTATACTCAGCTATTAAATTTCCTTTCTGCTTGGCTGGAAAATATCATAATTAAAGTAACAGTCCATATAACTTTCAAAATCCTTTGCAATTGGGGTTTCTATGTTACTAATAACCTTAAATCTTTCCTTTTATATAAACATTGGTAGAAAAGCTTTATACTCTTGTTACAACTTAAGTCATTGCTTTTAGCAACTTTTTATTTTGCTTTACTCTAATAACTTGACTTTTTTTTTTTTTTAGGCATAATTAAACATGGTGGTGTGAAACCTAATATCATTCCCTCATACTCTGAATTAGTCTATTATTTGCGTACACCCACAATGAAAGAGCTTCCAATTTTGACAAAAAAAGCAGAAGATTGCTTTAAAGCTGCTGCTTTGGCTACAGGATGCACAGTAAGAAGTATTAAGAGCTAATCCGTTTGTTAATCAGAAGTGTTTGGAAGGGGAGAGGATTTGGAGGGAGAAGGACCTTGATTTGTTTTTTTTTTCTACATTTTAAACAAGAAAACATTTGAGAGACAGATGGAGAGAAGAAGCAGGTTATATGATTCCATTAACATAATTATGTAATTATTTTCATCTTGATTTATCCTTATTACGAATTTTCCCTTTTTAATTTCAAAGAATATTATAACTATAAAAAAGAGGAATATTTTCTCAGTTGACTGAACAGTTTATATTTCAAAAGGCCTGAAGTCTCTCATACTGGTTGACTCTGACCCTCTCATTTGCCATGCTTAAAAAGAAGTATCATAAGTGGTAGGGAAGACTTCAGTTGTTGGGAGATGCTTTGGGGGCAGTTATATACTACATCTGTGATAGCTACAAAAATTAGTGCTATTTATCAGTTTTTATTATCCTTGATAAACATGTAATCTACCTTTTTAGACTTGATATGTAGTAAAATCCCTGTTAAAGGCAAGTCATTGGCAAAAGCTAATTTTTTAAAAAAAGCGTTCAGGATAAAAAAATTATGTATGTGGTACTTTATAATAAACAGCAGGACCTTGGAATAAGATGGGGAGAGGGCTGCCTTTTTGTTCTTTGGAAGGGGATTTTATTTCTGACATCAATCACATGAACGAATATTTATTGAGCACCTATGGTATGCATGTATGAGGTACTGTGTCAGGTGCTACAGGAACCCTGAATTTGTAGCCTAATTGGGAGGGACAACATAGTCTTTTTTGAACTATTATCTGAATTATATATTAAGTGCTAAGAAGTAATAGACCCACTGAGTGCTATAGTTCTGAGGAAGAATACAGCTCCAGGAGGCCATGATTGTTATTCTTCCTTCAAAGACCACTTGAGTCAGCTGGGTAGAGTGGAGTGGTGAGGGAATTCTAAGCAAAAGAACATAAAACAAAAGCTAGAAGATATGTTCCTTCTGGTAGATAGACAACAGGAAATATTAAGTGACTGGGTTAGTTAAGGAGAGACAGGTAGGTTAAATTACCTCTTTCTTGGAAACTGATAAGAAGAATGAGATAATTAAGTGGTCCCACTTAGAAAGATGCACCCATGGTCTGAATCCTGACCTTATAATGAGGCGATGTATATACTAAAATGTATATATATTTGAATGTTCTCACGACAGGATAAAAAATCCTGGGTGCAGGTTATATGGTGCAGTTAAGATAATAACTGCTTCCTTCAAAGGCTTACAGTTTAGTGGAAGTGAAGGTGCTTATAACTTCATTGATTTGGGAAAAAAAATTATTCCAATTCTGTTTTTCTATTTTTTTTTCAAATTGTGCTTAATAATTTTGTTAGGTGGAATTAAAAGATGGCATACATGACTACTATAATGTTCTTCCTAATAAGAGCCTCTGGAAAACTTACATAGAAAATGGAAAAAAGCTGGGAATAGAATTTATTTCAGAAGATTCTATGTCAAATTGTCCATCAGGTAATTCTAAGGGTGCTTATATTATTTATTGAGCTATTGACAAAGGTCTTTACCTCCTCTCCTTGTCTTTTGGTCTGGGCCTGTCATTTAATCTCTGTATGATGCTCTCTTTAAGAAACTTCTCTACAAATGCAGATGGGCAACCATTCTGCAACCCATCTTAACAGCTCAGTTCCCTGGTTAGCTTTTTAATTGTTTCTAAGTGACTAAGTGCTCAGGGCTAACATTCCCGTGGAGGTTGGGGTTAAAGGACACCTGTGTGTCAGAGGTGGGACCTGAGCCCAGGTGTTCCTGACTCTTAAGGCCAGCCCTCTATCCATTTACCACATGCTACCTCCTCTATATTGGGGAATAAGAGGGCATGGATTGTTAATGGAAGGGAATGTTTCCTCTCAGATATTTGAGAAATTGAAGTTAAAGTTAGTTAACCTTAAGTTAAAGTTAACTTCAATTTGAGAAATTGAAGTTAAGGACAGAGGGAAACAAATGGACCCTTCTGCAAATACAGAATGCCAGATGAGTTTGTTTTATTTTTGGAAGTAGCCACATACTTGACTTTTTAAAAAAATTCCAGATATTTACACTGGTGACATTTGATTTAGCTAATTTTCAAGTGAGGAGATTGAACCAGATGATCTCTAAATCTTCTCTCTCTAATTCCTATGATTGTGAACTACTTAAAAAAGAAAAGGAAAACTCTTAATAAGTTGTTCTTAATCCTTTTTATAAATAAGCAGGGTCATTGCCAGGGCAGTGCTTACTTAGTTGTGTAGGGAGTTGGTGATGTTTGTATTGGTTTGTTGCTAGGAAATAAAGATCACTTAGCATTAGGAAATAAAGATCAAAAATACAGAGATACTTTGAAGTTGCTTTTAGGTTTTTCTTCTATAATCAATATACCATTATTAAGAGGAAAAAATCTCTTAAAACATAGTATGACATAAGCATAAAACTAAATTTAATTTTCAGCGGTTAAAGATACAGTGAAACCTTTGGACAGTGAAACCTTTTACGGTGAAAACACTTTGAAACCTAAGCAGTAAAATGACCTTAGCTCTGTTATCTTCATAAATTATTTGAGTATTTTTGATTTCCTAGGTTGTTTTTTTTTAATTATTCTTTTAGGATCACTTCTTACCTATATTACTTAGTACCACTTTACATTTATATAGCAACTTTTAATAACTATGAAGGTGAATATTTGTTAGAATTTTGAATTTTTTCAGAAGTAATTTTTTGTTCATCCCGTCTTCTCTCTTTCCTTTCTGCACAGTTAGACTTCATAATGATTAACTTGCCAGAAATTCTCAGGGTAGCTCATGGGAAAGTGGTAACACTAGAAAAAAATAAACACAATGCAAAAAATGTGTATATCTAGTTGTCTTCCTCACATCTTCCCAGTTTTTCATTTTGGGGAGAAAAAACAACTCCAGTAGATATCATTGAGAACTGATATTTTTATCAACTTCCATTCATTTTCTCCCTGTGTGACTGGTTTATGGTCATTGAACTACTTGATAAGAAAAGTTGAACTGGAACCCATTTTCCTTATTCCAAGTATTTGACATCCTCTCTGCCAAGTTCAAAACTTATCTCACTGAAACTTCTCACTGTAAGCCTTGTGCTTCCTTCCTTAGCCCTCATCCATGTTTATTTTAATCAGCTGAGCTGTCTCTTCCCCAAGCTTGTCCTTTCCTCCCTGTATACATACCCTGGAAGCCCTGTCACTGCTCCTTACCCTTTCTCTTGCCCTAGCCGTCACCCATGGGAATCCCTACCCCAGAAGCCACAGAGAGATATTTATACTTGAGGGAGTTCACATTCTTGGTCCTTTGGAGCATGATGTTCTTGGCATCAAAAATTAGAGCTCTCAGTGCATTTTCCCATAGAACATTGGTACTATCCATTGTTTCAGTATCTATTTAATCCAAGACGTGTTTTTAGTACAAGGTACTGTTTTAGGTACTCAGGGTACAAGGATGAAAGGAAACCTCAAGAATTTGTATTCTACTGAAGGGATACAACATGTACACATGGAAATACTATGTACATAAATATATATGCACATACATATGTATATATCCATACATACACACAAAGCAAATTCCGTAGGAATCTAGCACTAGCAGCTAGAGGGCATTAGAAAAAGTTTCATGTAGTAGAAGTCACCTGAACTGTACTTTAAAGGAAGCTTGGGCCCTGAGAAGCAGAGGTAAAAGAAGATTCCATTTCAAACACAGGGAATGAGCTGTATAGAGGCATTGGATCCAGGTGATGGACTATCATGTATAAGGAATGGCTATTTGGTCATTTTTACTGGAAGACAGAGTGCATAAAGGGGAGTAAATAAGACTGGAAAGCCAGGTTAGGAAAATCTTTTTAATTTTTCCTAGAATTTATTTTTCCTAGAATCCTAGAATTTCTAGAATCAGTAATGTGTGTGACCCTAGTCAGATCTGTGTTTCATGGATGTCTCTTTGACATCTCTATGGAGACTGAATTGGAAAAGAAAGACTGGAAACAACTTAGAGAACAGCTTGGGAGTGGGGGTGGGGCTATTGCAGTAGTCTAGGCCAGTAGACTAAAGGTGATAGATATAAGATCATAGATTTAAAACTGGCAGAAACCTTAGAGGTCATCCAGTCTAGTAAATACTCCTCCTCTAATGTATACGTACATCATTTTACAAGTGAGGAAACAGGCATAGAGAGGTTAAACAACTTGTCCCGGGTCACACACTAGTAAGTGGAAGAGATGACATTTGAACTCAGGTCTTACTGTTTCTGAAGCACACTAGCTGCTGTGCCATACTGCTGAGAGGAGTTGAGGGTGAATTGACAAGACATGGCAAGTCGTAGGGTATGGGAGGTGAGGCAGGAGTCAAGTTTGTAAACATGGCTGTCTAGAAGGATGCTGGTGCTCTCAACAGAAATAGGGACGTTTAGAGAATTAATGGGTTTGGGGTAGGGCAAAGGTGAGTTCTGTTTTGGATGTGTTGAGTGTGAGATGCCTATGGGATATCCAGATGGAGATGTCTAACAGATAGAGGGTAATGTGGGAGTGGAGTTGAAGGACTTAAGCTCTATATTTAGGGGTTATCTACATGGAGATGATTGAACACATAGAACTGAAGTTAATATCAATTGAGAGAATATACATATATAGGTGGAGAGAGAGAGAAGAGGCATATATTCATAAGTAGTAGGCAGAGCCAGAATCATGATTCTTTAAAGGAGACTGAAAGGCAATAGTCAGGCATGGAGGAGAGCCGAGAGAGAATTGTGTAAAAGCCAAGGGAGGAAAGATTGTCTTTAAGGAATGGGAGTGACCAACAGGGTCAAAAACTATACAGAAATCAGAGCACTGAGAAGAGGTCATTGGGTTTGGCAGTGTGAAAGCACTGGTAACCCTACAGTAGAGGGGGTAGTGGGTAGGAGGGGAGGGTAGAAGCTGAAATGCAAAGCATTGAGAATAAAGTAGGAAGTGGAGAAAATGGAGGCTGAGCCTTACCTGAGCTAACCACTGCTTATGGCATTTAGACAGTCTTCTCAAAGGTCATCTTGTCCAAACCATATCTAAATAGCATTTTCCTATATCCCAAGAAATGCCTCTTCAGTCTTTACTTGATCTCTTTTCAGGGCGAGCTTATTACTTCTAGAAGCAGTCCGTTTCACTTCTGGATGGCTCTAATTTCCTTACATCAAAACATAATTTTCATGGGGAAAATATGTCTTGAGTTCCAAAATACCGAACTGATTTACAAGTAGATTTTGAGCATCTGATCCATTTGTGAGTTAAAGATAACTAGTATTAATTTTTAAGAAAAATGACTGACCCAGAAATATAAGAAGCATCTGGTAGCCATGCACCCATCTGCCTTACTGTGTTTTCCCTCATAACTATACTTTGCATCATGTTACAGAAGTGGGGTTGGATTTTCTGGCTCTGGAGACCAGCTCTTAAGAATACCTAGGTCAAGTGATAATACATTTTCATTCCATATTTCAGTGTACTTTATCCTTCCCACCACTAATTTTTGGACAGTCTAACTTTTGTCTTTTTGAAAATGTGCGCACTTTGCTTTCACTCTGAATATATTTTCATGTCTGAACTTGGAAAATAAGTTTTTGATTATAGTTTAATAATTCAGACATTTAACTAAATGCATCTCTTATTTTGTATGCTCCAAGGTTCCACTGACTTTGGAAATGTTACTTTTGTGGTTCCTGGAATTCACCCGTATTTTTATATTGGTTCTGATGCACTGAATCATACTGAGCAATATACTGCAGCTGCAGGTAAGGGTTTCTGATGTGAATAGACTTTGGAATATATCATCTTGGGAGATGGGGTGGAGGGAGAGGATTACTGGCATCTGACAGCTAGAATTTATATAGCACTTTATGATTTGCATAGCCTTTTATGGTTATTATTTCATTTGATCCTTGTCACAATCCTGGGAGGTAGCTGCTATTGTTATCCCCATTTTACAGATGAGGAAACTGAGGCAGACAGCGTGACTTGCCCAGGATCATACAGCTGGTAAAGTGTGTGAGGACAGATTTGAATCAGGTCTTCCTGAGTCCAGGTCCAGCTCTCTGTCCATTCGACTACATAGCTGAAAGAAGCACATTTGTCTTTGTGGTATAATTATAATTAAAGTTACCCAGCATTAGCTGTGGATAGTGTGTATGTGTGGGGGAAAGGGGGAGTGATTGAGCATTAACCATCAAATTAATGAAGTATTTCTTTATTTTCAAGTTGGTTTTTGTTTAATTTTCAGTGAGGCTAGAAAGTGTCTGTTTTCCTCGTTTATTCTGTATATATTCAGATATGTACATGTTGTCTCCCCAATAGAGTGTAAGTTCCTTGAAGGTAGGGACTATCCCATTTTTGTCTTTATGTCCCCAGTGCCTGACTCATAGTTGCCACTTAAGTGTTTGTTGGTTGAGTTTTTTTCTTTCTGCCCTCTAGGATCCCAAGAAGCACAATTCTACACTTTGCGTACTGCTAAGGCTCTGGCGATGACGGCCCTCGATGTGGTTTTCAAGCCAGGTTTGCTGGAAAGAGTCAGAGAGGACTTTAGACTTAGTCTTCAAGAAGAAGAGATTTTGAATGCTACAGAACAAAGCCAAGACCTTAGCACAACTTGTGAATCACGTTAAGAATCAGTTCTTCCATTAATGAGGTAGGATAGGATTGCTTTTTTTTCCTCTAGGAGCAAGTTTCTGGTATTTTGAAATTGTGTGACACAATAAGAGGGGAAAATACATTACCTCGTGTAATCTAAAATCAATTTTCACAGATCTATATTTCATGAGAATTTAAATGTACAGAAATGGACATAGTTGGAACTTAGTATCTCAGTACTCAGTCCTCATAACACAAATGACAGGTATGTTATATACATAGCTGCAGATCTATATATGTGGTACTGCAAAGGTTAATGTTGAAAAGAATAAGGTTTAAAATCTAATGTTCAGTAGAATTAATATGCTTTTGGGAGCTATAGGTACAAGGTAATCAAGATATACTGTGAAGATATTTTTTAAATATGGGAATAGCTTTTTGTAGGCTTATTTACTAGAGATATCTGATGTATATTAATTCTGTGTGAATATTTTAAAAAGAAGTGAGAGGAAAAGGAGCCAGGGAAGCTTGTATGTGCTGTGAATTTTGTGAATTGTTAGCCTTGGTGATCTAGTATAATGATAGTAATACTTAATCTGAAATAGAATCAGTAAGGAGGAACATTTGACTTGTGTGTTCAAGTCTCTTAATCTTTCTGGGTTTCTGTTTCCTTTCTTTATGAAAGGAGAGAATTGAAGGAGGGCTGCTCTTGATTTTTTGTAGCTGTAAAATTCTATGGTCTGTACTCTGTCCCCAGATTTAAAGTTCCCCATCAATAGATCTTTTAGGTATATGGTTTCTGGGGCTAGGACTTGAGAATTATATATTCCTTTCTTTACACAATGCACATAAGGAAAAGCACATTTCCCCACTGATTTTTATTATACAGCTAGAGCTTTTCCTGTGAACTGAGATGGAAACTTTAAGTGAGGTTAAGATAATGGACAGTCAGTCCTGTGACGTACTCACCATTGAAGGATTCTATCAGCACCGTCCTTTGTGGGAGCTGTGGTTTCCACTTAACAATTCACTGTCCTTGCTCAGACTTTCTTTGTTCTGGAATTTGCCTTTGGTCTTCAGACAACGCCATTGCTTTCCATGTCCTTAAATTTCCCAGGACAAAAAACCTTTCTACATAATGGTTTGCAGAACTTTCCTCCCCATTTTCTCCTGCTTGGGTATTTAACAGCAAGTAGCCTTGGGTAATTATAACATATTTCTCATTTAGTATGGACATCGAAGCATTTGAAAATATGAGGCTTTGGGTATGTGAAGCAAATTTATTGCTTGCTTCATCAGTTTGGCATACGTAGCCAATATACAATAGTACATAGCTAATATACATAGCCAAAGTACAAGTTTTCAGTTTGGCATAGCCAATGTACTTACAGGGAAGCTGCAACCGGAAGGAAAAAATACATTATTTTATTGTATTCTCCAAACACTAATGATATTCTTGCAATCCTCATTCCCTTTGTGACTTTGTTCCTGCCACTTTCCTTGCCAAGAAAGTTTCTCCTATGACAAATGAATTACTTGAGCCAAACCCCATGTGGAACTGAAATATGCTGTTTTTCCATGTGAAAGAAATATAACCATGAACTTCATATTCTAGTTTTTAGGCATGACTGTAACTCATCTCTGTCACCTAATTTGAAATTAGCAGGCAGGATCCCCCATGCTGGAAGCTAATCTCTTTGGAATTTGCTTTCTGTGCCACACTTCCTTAGTAACCTTCATCCTAATGGACTGAGGCCAGAATCTTTGGATTTTTCAAACCAATCTTCAGCCTTATTCTTCCTGGTCTTTATTTTCATGGTTTGCCATTTTAGAGGACAGAGGAAAGTAAAAATTAAATGATCTTTGAGTATTATTTTTAGGCAAGAGCAAATGGAGGTATAGAGGATCTATTTATTTTTGGTGTGCTGATCATTTTTTATTCCTTCTGCTTTTTTGGGTAAATTGTATGTGCATTTTTTTGAAGGGGGGAAATTAAGTGCCTTTTTAAAATTAGTTTGAACAGTGACATGACTTGAAAAAAATGCCATTCCTAATAGATTTAGAGAATATTTGTTATGTGCCCTGTTTTAAATGCTGTGATTGACTTCAAATCAGAGGAGTCCTGTGTTCATGTCCCCCTTCTATCAACAGCTTTGTCACCATGGACAAGTCACTTAGTTTCTTCCTCTATGAAGTAGTAGATATTAATCCCTATTGTGCCAGAGGATTGAAAAATAATGTACATAAAAGAATTTTGCAAATATATTCTCTCTCCTATTAGACTGTAAGCTCTTTGAAGCCAGGACTGTGACTTAGTCATTTTTGTTTCTACATCACAGGGCGTTGTGCATGGGTGTTTAATAAATACTTGCTGAAAAAATATTACAGAATCTCAGAATTTGATTTTAAAAGAACTGCTAGTGGTCAGCTAGTGCAATATACACATGAAAAGAATCCTCACTATAACATTCCCAAGAAGTATGTGTAGCCTTTTCTTAAAGACTTCCAAGGGGAGGCAGTCTGTTCCACTCTTAGACCACTCTGTTAGGTAGTTTTTCCTGACATCAAGCCTAATTTGGCTCTTTGCAGTTCCACCTTTTATAACTTCCTTCTTTTTAAATCAAGGGAATGGAATAACCTTGGAGATTATAAGATAAATTATTAGACTCTAATGACAAATTTTGTGGCTACAGCAACGTATACTTCTTGGAAAAGAGAAATAATAAATTATTTATGAGCTATTATCTCTAAAGTGAGTGGATGAAGAAAGTTTCTTAACAATTACTTTTCATCCTTTGTGAGTAATAGTCAAATTTTGGGGGGAAAGTTAAGTGAATTAGTGATAAATTTTGAATTACATAATTTAAAAAGAAATTGTTTTATTAACTCCCCCTCTCCCCCAATTTTAGACACTAGGTAATTCCATTTCAGTGAGTAGAATTACATTAATTAGGTCTACACTTAAGTCAGTTAAGTGAACATTTATTGCAAGTCTATGTGCAAAGCACACATATTTTTATATATTGTATGACAGGCTGAAACTTTTTCCGCAGTAATTTAAGTTAGTTAAGCATGATTTTGTATAATCTTTTGTTTATCATTTGCTTAATATACTTTTTTTTCAGGAATTACATATGTAAATTTTGGTTTAGCATGAATTTTGAGTTAGCTTGAATTAGACCTAATGTAATTACAGATTCAAGTTCTTTTTGGAGAAAAAAAAACAAAGGTATGTGGTGGGATTATTGATTTGAAAAACAAGTCCTACGGCTCTGTATGGAACCTGTAATGACAAAGTTTGTGTGTACTTCCAGCAACTTGAACTGTTTCTTTCCTCACCTTCTTCTTATTTCTGTAGCATTTATTTGTAAAAGAACAAGGTGGATATGAATCACTAATCATTGTGGTATTTCCATGTTCCTCAGAATATAACAATGAATTAAAACCATGGTATTTATTTACAATCCACAAAATTATTGACAATCTTTTTTTGTATTTTAACAATGGTAAATTCTTACTGTGTATTTCCACTAATTTTGGAAATTTTAAATAAAATTATAATGAAACAAAGACATATTAAAGTGTGTGAGTCGTTTTAATGTGTTTGACGGGAAAATTTTGTAGTTTTAGAATTACTGTCCAGTCTCAATGTGTAAACTTGGTGATAACATTTTTGCCAAGCTCAAACACATCCATGATCTTTTAAAGAATTATCTTACAGCCTGATGTGTAGGGCCATTGGAAAGGAATTCTTACAAAAAAGTGAATCCATTGTCCTACTACTAGTTAGTTAGTCTTCATAAGGCCAACAAAGTAGAATAAAAATCATTAAAGGTTGTCCTACCTTTTGAGGGTGACACAATGTTCTGGCCTTGGTAGTTAACAGTAGGAAAGGTATATTCAGAAATGTTTTACTTTTCAGGTAAATTAAAATGTAACCTCAATCATTAAATTATATGTGTAAATTTTAAGAATGTATGATACAGCTTTTGTCAAGGAGTATTTAGAACATTTTCCTAAGAACACATATGCTTATCATAGCAGATGCCTTTCTTTTCATTAGGGTGTTGTTCTTTGTAATGGCACTCCAAACAAATGAATACAAAAGGTAAGTGCATGTATGTATTGTGATAGGAAATACAATTTATGTCAACTTTAAATTCCACTGTTATGGAATCTGATGACTCGTTTCTAAACCATCATTCAGAGAACATGAATATCATGCATTCAGAAAATTTGGGAGAAAGAATACTTAACCAAATTTTTTCATTTTAAAAAATTTTTGAGTATTATTCCTTTTAATGGTAATGCATTTTTAGAGTAAAAAGATACCATCCCAATTTGAAGTTAGGTTGAAGTCATGGTAATACAAACACACAATGTTGAATTTTTAAATGGAAGGTAAGGTATAAAAATAAAGCTATAGGGTGACAATTCTTAGTAGATAACTAGATTCCTATCCCTTGGGAATGTGAATGACTCAATGAATGCTTCATAACGGAGATTGTGTCCCTGTTCCTCTGTTGAAAGCTCGTACTCTTAATCTCTTCCCTTTCTCAATCTAAGGATAAAAGCTAAGCTTATTCTTTGACAGTTCAGTTAATCAACAGCAGCTACTTTCCTTAAAATAAACACAGACTTCTGAAACAATAACAGGAAACATGAATGTTATTTTTGTACATTACGAAAACTGAGAACCCTTTTCTTTTTGGATGAAGAATGAATTGTATTTTGATAGAGATTTGGAATCCTTTTCTACTTTCAGGACTCAGCCAAGAGAGACTATTGCAGCATTATCTAGCTGCCAAATAAAACACAGCAATTACTGTTGTCCAGTCTCTTTGTTTTATGGCCCCAATATACAAATGGTCTACATTTAATCCATTTTATATGATTATATGTATACATATGTGATCCTGGAAGAGAATTTAGCATTTTATCAGTACCTTCCTCTTACTTGATTTGACTTGACTGTACTTAAGTAAAAGTGGAGACTGATTCTTAAGTTTGATTCCAGTATACTCTGCCTTCAATTAATATTTCAGCCTGTGGGGTGGTGGAACCTGGATATGTTTATCCAAAATAAAATCAGACAGCAGGAACAGAAAGTGAAATTTAAGTTCAGGAATACCATTGTAGACAAAATCATAATACTGACCAATATTACTTTGGAAAGCTAAGTGCAGTGCTGCAACCAAGAAATTCTTTTTCTATGAAAAACTACCAGTTGCCTGACTATAACTGCCACATTTCTACATGTAGAGGTAGATACAGCTTGAACATCCTATGAATGGAACATTATATTACTCCTGGAAAGACAAAAGTAAATAGAGCAAAATCTGACATTGGGCTAACCTAAACATTCTGATAATTGACACCTGTCCATGTATCTCCAGGTTTCTGTATAGTGCTTACTGTGTGCCAGGCAGGCACTAGGTGGCGCAGTGGATAGCTTACCTCATCTGTAAAATGAACTGGAGAAGGAAATGGCAAACCCCTCCTATAGCTTTGCCAAGGAAATCCCAAATAGGGTCATGAATAGACTAAAAAACAACTACAAAATGTGACAGGCACTATGCTCAGCACTTCACAAATATTATCTCATTTGATCCTCACAACAGCGCTGGGAGATAGATGCCATTATTATCCCCATTTTACAGAGGAGGAAACTGAGGCAAATAGAGGTTAAATGACTTGCCCAGGGTCACACATATGTGAGGCTAGATTCAAACTCAGGTCTTCCTAACTCCAGGCCCAGTGCTGTATCCACTAAGCCACCTAAATGCTAATTCTCTAGTGCTTTCTGAACCCTTGGGGAGAGATTAAGGTCTTTAAATTTTGGTCATTCTTTAATCACTCAGCAATTAATTGGCTGTTAGTACACTATGTGTCAGGCTCTGTCCTGGCATATTGGGGGGGGGGGACAGGGAGGGTAGAGGAATACAAATACAGTACAATGAATGAAACAATGCCTACTGGCAAAGAGCTTCTATCCTTAAATAGTAGTTATTGGTATGTGTATGCTAATCAGTATATTTGATTAACCAAAACACTATAGAGTATATTCCAGCAATGCCAGATAATAGGGTTACTGTATTAGTCTCTGCTGTGACTCTTCTGAAAGTATTTTACTCTAGATGTGAAAAACAATAGGACTCTGAAACCATATGGTCTTTGCCTCTGCTCGTGGCTGAAAGCTACTATTTAAAGTAGTTACTGCCTCATAAAAGTGAATAATCACTGTCATTTAGGGAAATTGCTTTATAATCAAGAACTGCTTAGGTAACTTTAGAGGATCCAATTCTAGTTAAATTTGTAACTTTTTTCCCCTCTTAAATAAAATTTGCAGTTTGTAACCTTATCTTTTGGTTACATGAATTAATTTTCAGGTGCTTCCTGAAAATTCCACTGGGTAAGCCAATTGACTTCTAGCCTAGAGAGTGGCAGCTAGGTGGCACAATGGATAAGAGTTCTGGGCCTGCAGTCAGGAAGAATTCCCAAGTTCAAATTCTTCCTCAGACACTTACTAGCTAGGTGACCCTAGGCAAGTCACTTAACCTTACTTGCCTCAGTTTCCTTATCTGTAAAATGAGCTGGAGAAGGAAGTGGCAAACCACTCTAGTATCTTTGTCAAGAAAATCCCAAATGGGGTCACAGAGTTGGACACAACTGAAAACGACTTAACAACAAAGCATATAGACTGCACATTTTGAATGAAGAACCTGATTCTTTTCTTGTAGACTTAACTCTGATATTTGTGTATATAACCACATACATATATGTGTATGTAGCATGTTAGACAATATATATGTGCATATGTGTGTATGTGGTTAAATGATTTACCCAGGGTAACAAGCAAAGCATTTGTTAGAGGCAGGACTAGACCTCCATTCTTCTTGACCCCTCTCATTGAGAGTTACTATATGGCCAAGGTTCTTAACCTTTTTTGTGTCATGGATTCCTTTGGCAATCTGGTGAAGCCTATGGACCTCTTCTCAGAATCATGCTTTTAAATAATTGAAGGAAGTGCTAAATTTCAGGTAGAAGTTGGTGAAAATAAAGATGTAATTTTTTTCCCATCCAAGTTCATAGATTTCTTGAAATCTACCCATGGACCCCTTTGGGGCCCTCCCAGGCTAAGAATCCCTGCTCTAGAGGAAATAAGTTTATCATAAGCCTCCTCTATGAAGGGCACTAGAATTATTCATCATACGCCAGCTGGTGAAATAGGAGTTAGTACTATGTAATTATTACAACAGAAGAAATACCTAAATAACTTAATTAGCTTCTCCTAGCTCCTTATGACACTACTGATGGTTTGCATCCATGATCCACTCTCTGAAGTTCCCCTTGGATTTCCCATTGAAGTCAAAAGCAGTTCCTGTGTATTAAGAGATCCTCTACATGGAAAGGGGGAAGTCCATGAAAACACAACGTATGTTGTGAATACATGATTGTGAAGCTTTCAGTAACAATGACTTAGGATTCCAAGGGGACAGAAAGAACAGACTATAGTAAACTACTATAAATCAGTATCAAAAGATAACCTTGGTTAAAAATTGAGCTTTAGGGGTATTTAGGTCCCATATTAATGCATTTTAGATATCACTACTCATTTTAAAGAATATAAAAACATTTATTTGAATTAATATTTGTAAAAATAAGCAAAGACATAGAGTTCTAGGGCCCAAGTGAAAATGGACTGCAGAAAAACAAGAATTTTAGCAGAACCAGAAATAAGAAATAAATCCACATCACAGTACCATATTTTTTTTCAGACTAATATTACTACCATCAGATGCCATTGGGTATATGTATTATTATAATACTTAGTATAGTGTACATACAGTCAATGCCTGATACATGTGATTTGACTTAAGGATTGCTTAATATGACATTAGAGTGGGTGAAGGTAGAAGTGAGCTCCAGGTTCTTTATCCTATCCATAGCACTGAATGAAATATTTTCCCACCATTTTCTTTTTAGGTTAATTATTTTGTGTCATTGTTTTTGGAGTGCCTACTGTGCAGAGCAGGGGAGCTTTGAGAATGACTAACGTTTATGAGAAAATAGACCAGTATATTAAATTAAATAAGATGTATGCAGCTGGGAATATTATCCGAGAGTACTTATCGATGGCATGGGTGTCAATCCGCATGCTCACATAACTCCGTTGGCTTTTCCTTCTTATGGCATTCCTCTCAGAACCCAGAGCCAGCTGCACCATCATCCGGTCTTGCTTATCTCCTTGGTCCGACACATAATTTCCTAGATCGTTCACCTCTCCATCACTGTAGCTGCTATCCATCATCATGGCCCTGGGCTGAGGTATACCACAAGTACAGGGAAGCTGTGAACGTGGCAAAGAGACCAAAAGGAAAAAAAAAACTAATTCAGTGTGACTAGCCTTGGAGACATTACAAAATTAGCAATTCCATAATTAAAGAATGTTGCATTTCTCCCTACCTTAAAACACACATACACACACACACCTTAAAGGAGTTGTTATGTCGTTTAACATCAGA